TAATTCTCTCGAAACAACAAACGCCGGCCGGCAAGCAACTTAACAATTGAGGGGATCGACATAGGTCGTAGGTATAAGATTCCAGTATGGAGGGACTGGGAATGGATCTGAACGGATATCTGATAATCTGATATGTAGTACCAAAACACCAACCTCTTAGGAAACGGTAAGTGGTAAGCATGGCCTTAATTGAAGTTCCACGCAAAGGACAAGTAGGAGGTTGGTCCGTGCACTCTGGATGGAAGGTGATAAGTGAGAAAGATCAAGCACCCTTCTTTGATATTCTTTGATCTGTTTATGATCCACGGTGTTGATTTTAAGGTAGGCTGTAAACCACCGCCAAATTCTGTTTGCACTCTAAGCTCTGCCACCCCATTTTGGAATCTCCCCAGTAAGTAAGCGTCCATGATTCGAGGCATCCCAGAAAAGGAGTCAGGGTCGCAACCGGTCCTGTTCGCAGGCGCTGGCTTCGATCCCCGTGGCTCGAAACGACAGGGAACTCTGTGGCTCGGACGATGTTGAGGGAAGTACTGGAAGATGATGAGAGTTGCATTGTGGAAAGTGCTCCAACATGACTGCTCCCTTGAGGGACCATATGGGTGTCACGGAATAAGGACAATTCCGTGGTGGTTGACCCCAGATGCTAGATGTTCAATGGGAGCCGCCATGTTAACAAAAAGACACGACCAACATCAACCAACACAATACCAGGACCTATTCATAGACATCCCTTGCGATCCCCTGGCAGCCCTGGTGACCATGCTCTTACCCAAACACTGTATTATGCCTACATTGACCGCTGAAACCACCCCAATGTAGGCAAATATGCCAGTCCCACGGAGTGTCTGGGTTTTGGGGTCAAGCCCTTGAACCTGTTCCTGGCACTTCCAGAGAAGAACTTGAATCTGACCTCAAACCATGCCGTCCTGACCTCAAAACAGAAACCGCCGGACTGTTCCGCTCTTGTGCTTCCCCTCCGCTCTAGCTTCTTGCGCCTTGCAGCTCTTGTTGCGGCCATAGAAGCCTGGGTGCCGTCGGCGAGCCCGGGCTTCGGCTGGTCTCAACCCCCCGTCTCTCTGAAACGCATGTGTTGGCGTGGGTTGTCACGCTAAGCTAAGACAGCATACACGCTGTTCGCCTGTTCCGAATGGATGGATGCTGCATGCGGTGAATTTCAGTGGCACGAAAAGGAGCTTCCTTCACTTCACCCAGGCATAGTCTTTGGACTTCTAGGGTATATGTGCTCCACTTTTGACAGGGGTGGAACCTCTCGAAATGTCGGTGGCGCGACCAACGATGCAAATCCACAAACTGATTCTCAAATGATCGAAACAAGCTGAGTGTGACCAAATGCGAATAAAACTCAACACAGATCAACACAGAAATTCAGGAGATGGAGCAGCAAATCAGAAGATCTGAGCCACCGGTCTACCACTGTGCATTCGTCACTCGTCACCAGGGTGACTGGCAGCAATGAAGGAACAAACACCACGCCCCCACTTCGAACAGCCCAGTACACTAAGTTAGTGTTCTTCATCCCAGCCCTGCTCGACAGGGCAACTTCCGAACAAAACGACTCAGCCCTGTGTGATTTTGCCCCAACATGTTTCGTGAACAAATCACTACTCGTCAGCACTTTTCGCCGGAGCACAGAGCAAGAAGGGTGCGGAGGCGGCTCGCCCTTCACGGGGCCTCACCAAAAGCTCCACTTTCTGAAAATAGCCTTTGGCCTGGCCAAGTCACAGGATCAGTTCCGGTGGGACATCTTGAAAGAACCTTTACTTGAACCCTCAAACTTGAGCAGGATGGGGAAATAGAGGCCGTATCAAGCCTATGGTCTGGTGTTTGTGGCATAGTTTTGTTCATTTCTTGGACCGTGAAGTCTCCAAACTCCCGGGGAGTCTATACCTCACGCATCCTCACGTGCTTCCTGGATGTGCTTCCTGGCCTGGCAGCGTAGTGTGGTGTTGTCCAGCCAGGTGACCCGTGAAATCCAGCAGCTGCTGGCGACCCATTGGGTCGACGGTTTTGGGCTTCAAGGAGGTATCATCAGAAAAAAACATATACCAATTACCAAACAACCTAATCTCCTAGGGATCCAAACACCTTCTCAGGTACGGTGATTCGTTCGACACTGTTATGTAAGTGTGGAGGGTCCAATGACCTTCTGAGGTACGGTACTTGGATCCCCAAAAAGGGGCAAAGCTGGCCCATGGCCTGTCAAGGCTCACCGTGTGGAAGGACCAGATCACTCCCGTGGTTTGAAATCGAGGACAAGGGATTCACATGGCTCTCGCAGACTGGACAGTCTCTCTTTGTGTGGCTTCCCGCAACACGAGCCTTCCCAGCGATGGGTACTTCCTCAGCAAGCTCCTTGATAGCAGCTGTGATACAAGTACATTCTTCTTCGCATGCGGAACGGAAAAAGAACAGATCCGATCCGGCCAGTAATCTCTAACACATATGATCCGTAGAACTTGGAAGGTGTTGATACTTCTTGTTCATGATCAAACTGCTGCCAAGGTTGACCAAACCTGTGGCCGCTTAGCATGCAAGAATCCTGCGACATTGTCCACCTCTGGGATGTAGGTCGTTTCAACATCAAATGTGGGATCAACCAACCCGAGTCATCCTGCTCAGGTTTCCCAAGTCATTCAGAAACCTCATTCAGAGACCCCACCTACATCCTTACATTTTGGCGCGCCTCCATAAACCACATCAAACCCTAAAAACAAATTAACATATGTCTTCTGGAAGGTGCTCCTGTGCGCCACTGCCACCCGGACCACGGCCCCGTTAACCCCCACGCCTGCCAGGCCAGGAAGACATCCGCCTCGCGCGCCGGCACGCAGGCCATAAGAGCGCTGGAGCGGACGAGGTAGAAGCCGGAGCCCTGGAGCCGTGGACCGCTGGCGGTCCAAACCCGGCCAGGTTAAACCCTGGCAAGTCGACCTCCAAGGTAGGTCAACCAGCTACTGAGTACTGAATAGGTCAACTGCTGACATGTTCGGTGCAGATCAGGTTCTGTGCTGTGCGCGCTTTGCGGACTAGAAGTGGGCGTTGGTGTTGGAAGTGGGTGGATCCGAGAGGTTGCGTGGGTCTCATGTGGGTGCATGGGTCTCGACAACGCAAGGTCCATTGTTAAGCACTTTCCCAACATTCCGGTGGATGGCAAAAACTGGGCGCCCTGCATCTCTGGGTGCTTTTTCGGTTGGATGTGAAAGGGTAAAACTGATGGAAGTCAATCCAAATCTTTGACTCGCCTTGACAAAAAATAAGTAACAAACTGTGACCTGACTCAAATTTGACACGACCTCACAAACAAAAACAACCTCCGGGAGTGGAGGGGTGCCGGGGTATAGAGACTAAACACTACCTTTGGAACTGCTGGATATGAGTTTCTTCAGCCTTCGGAGAAACTGACAACGCACTCAGGAACGCTTGGGCCACGTGTGCGCTGTTACGCGGCCTGTTTCGAGCTTGACAGACCAAGAGATGATTGATCATGTGGAGAAGAAAAGCTTTGCTCAGGGAGACAACCAACTCAAGGCCAAAGTCCCAAGAGTTCCTCTTAGTCGCGGGTTTTTGCGAAAGCACCTGGACGGCCAGCAGGCTTCCTTCATGGTCTGGGAGCTGCTGTAGACGCCAATCACGCAAGCGAGTGCCTCGCACCGTCTGGTGGACCACGGCCATGGTCGAAGTGACCTGGATCCGGTGATCGAGTCCATCGGGAAGATGGAAAGAATCAATCGGACCTGATCGGACCTCATTGGACCCCCCCGAACTGTAACTGGAAGGGTCTGGTCTTGACCCTGCTTAGGGCACAGCAGGGGTTTGAAGCAAAGCTTCACAGATTGAGGCCATGCATCGGAGAGTGTACATACATTTGCCCCATGTAGGACCCCAATGTAAACAACTATCGCATACGTGGAGTGTCTGGCTTAACGCTTCGTTTCAGCACACCGCGCTGTACCCGTGTCCGACCCGAACCGAGCAAAATCGGCGCCGGGTGTCCGCCCATTCGATGACAACGCCCCAAGGCGGTGCCAGGCCGGAACATGGTCCTCATCCCTTTTAGGCGATGCGTCAGGTTTGGAACCCGGGCCAGGCTAAAGACTTCGACGGGCGCCTCCAGCACCTCTGGGTTCTTTTTGTTTGGCGGCTTTTCCGAGTGACCAACATCCATATATATATATATATATACCAACATCTGGGGTGACCAACATCCATGTATACCAACATCTGGGGTACCTCCGGTAGGTGATGAACCGATCCAACTTGGCGAGGGAGAGAGTGCCTGGAGCTACCTACCCTCAGCCTCCATTCAAACGTACCAGGTGAGAATGGAGGACCCCGCTGCCGCTGCCCAGACGTCTCCAGCTTGCGTCCGGTCCGCCGTATGAGAATACTGCAAGGGCGAGCCCAGGTGGAATAGCAAGGGCCCCACTCTCCTCATGCTGATGTTGAGACACAGATGTCCAGGATCTTCAGAATCTTTCATCCAACTAACTATCCAACTATACAGTCTTCACTGTATGACCGCGACCACAAGGCCTTTCCGCGCTCCTGTGCTCCTTGCTTCCCCCAAGAGCAAAACCTCGATATTTAAAGGCAGCATCTACGACCTATGATAGACCGTTCACGCTTGTTTCTGGATGATTATGCCTGTCTTACCATCTCATACATATCCGGGTAAAAAATAGAGTAGCGTTGGTGAACACCAAAATATTTGTATACTGTATACTCATACAGCCTCTAAGAAAATGGTCCATTTCCGGTCTTGACACAATAAAGTTACATATAGAATGTCAATTTAGTTCAAATACATGTCATACGGCAAGAAGCTGAACACAAACACAAACCATCACAAACTACCCAAGGTTTGTACTTCTTCCAAGTGAAATTCAGTCTCCTTTTTAAACACCATACCATGCCATTCAACCCCTTTCACACCAAACACCCCTCTCGGGGTGCTTGGTGTCAAAGCCTTCAGCTCCTGGAGAGTGGAGCTCCCAACTCAGCAATGCGCTCCGGGCAAACGTACCAGGCCTCACAGACGCGTCTGCGGTCCGGGCGGGTGAAAACACACACACACACACGCAGCCATACGCAGCACTGACGTGACATGTCTGTCTGATTTAAGGAAGAAGTGTTCAGCATGAAAACCGTTGTTTTCACCCCCCGAAGTTCTGTGGCTTTATTGGAACTAATTCTGGGATTCTTCCACTTCCTTGAAAAGGAACGACAAAGACAGCAAAACCTACGACAGCCTGGTCGACATCGTGGGAACCACGCCATCTGGGTGGCAGCCGCCATGGTTTTAACATGGTTTCGCCGTGTTCTGTGGTGTGTTTGGCATTGGGGTCACCAGCCAGTTTAAGGACAACAGATCTTTCCATTGTCGGACAAAGGTCTTTGTTCAAACCGGGGGACCGAGCACGGACCGTGCGTTTGGTCATTGACGGCGTGCCATAATCAGCACGCGTTGTCCCTTTTGCAGGACATGATCCAACCGAGCACTTCGAATGGGTGCCCTGTCTGGAGGCTAAGTAAGGTAGGGTAGTCTAGCCACACCCAAACAGGATGACCCTGGAAGACTCTTGGCTTTGCGTCTTTGACCTTGCTTCGCCAGGAGGTCTGGGGGGAGGCGACTCGTCGACTCTAAACCAACGGCACGAACAAAACGTCTCGTCCGACGGGTCCTGTGTTCTTTTTCACGAGTGACTTCCTGGTAGACTTCCCCGGCGCTGGCTGGAAACACCGAGCAGCCAGTGTGTGGCAAAGGAGTTGCAAGGATTGGAAGAGCTTAGCCACCTCAGCCCCAGCACAGCGGTTTCTAGAGGGTGTGGAAGTTTTGCCAGGCGATGGAAACGGTTGATGAATAACAACTATAGGCCGGGGAGATGCAACACAGTAAAGAACATCTGTTTAATCAACATGAAGCGATTCAGTTTGGTTGTAGCCCGACGTCTAGACGAACAGAATCCAACAGACACGTGGCCTGCGCAGTTGGTCACGCGTGAGCTGTTCGGAGCACCCCCAAAACACCGCTGTTCGGATGAAGTCCGAAAAAGTGAGTCACACAGAGTCTACTCCTTATAGTTGGTTTTAATATGGTTTAATGTAGATTCTTGATCGCAATCACACCCCCCATATTTAAAATCTTATATAAATCAATCAACATGGGAGAAGATACAACAATGGAGAGACTACAATAGGGGTGGTTTCTAGTCCCTAAGTGAGTGGATAATGGGCACCCCTATCCTCCAATAGGCACCCCTTTGTGAGTCCTGGTACATGAATTTTCGCGATCAATACTCAAGATCCCCTTTTCACCCGACCACGTCCATGTGTAAATGTTCCGAATCGATCAACTGTGCCCTTCGTGTGAACCAGTCATCAAATGTGCCAACCAATCACTTGACCAACCAAAAGCGGCTTCAGTGTCGGCTCTCGCGTCAATGCAAGGAGCAATGACAAAGGCCGATGAGAGGATGGAGAAAAGGCAGTACCACAAGCCCTCCAGGACGCAGCACATGCTCACCTAGCATCAAGCTGCAGTTCTACAGTGGTTTCAGAGTAGATGGCACAATACCTAAGTTTGATGATTTATATATAGACCCTTTATAAAACACATCTTGGGGGCCCCCGTGCCACCGTGCCATCTACCCTGGAACCACTGTAGAACTGCAGGCAGGTTCAGGGCATCTGGGTTTGGAGCCCGTGTGGTTTCACTGCACCGTTCGGTGGCAGGTTGGTCGTAACAGCGGTGAAACCGGCAGACGCCAGGAACGGGTCCGGTCCCTGGACGTACTTTCTAGGGGATGTCCAAGAATTCTCAGATGTCCAAGGCAAGAGATCTGATGTTGTGGATTTAGACCGTAGTTCCTTTCCTTTCCATCTCAAGGCTTCATCCGAAAGACGACGGCAAAGGACTTCAACATCTGGAAATAGCCACCTGTCTGGATCACTTTAGGTTAGGCAATTTAGGTGTTCATCTGCGAGTTGCTGAATTCAACCTTGACATTGAGCCTTGCTCAACTTGCTGATTCACTTTAAAGTGCCCAGCCTGTTGCCGAGATCGTATCTACCAAGGCATCCACTATAGGAACTGGCGACTCACAGGATGATACTGTCTCCCCTTCCAAGCCCGAAGGCCCGAAGCTCTATATATATATATATAAGTATATATATATATATCCAGTTCCATCTTTGGAATATCAAGCGGATCAATAGCTTTTGAGTAGAACACATCCAAAACCTACACTAGAGCTCAATATGGAACTTCTGCATCTGCATGTGATCTGATGTAGAGGTCACGCAGCACATGGACCGAACCCATGATCATTGATTGTGATAGTTTGGTCTTTGATTGTGATAGTTTCATGTTTTCTTGTTATGAGTCTTAAACCACATATCTGTAACTTATGGTGGAGTTCCTGAACACCCTGAGTTGCTTCATGATGGTGTTTCTTTGCAGCAATGTAAATTTGAGGTGTGAAGCCAAAACAGTGGGGGGGGGGGTCGTGCTACTTAAAGCCTGACACTAGGCAAATTGCACCAAGTCATCAGTCAGAGAGTTTGGCATATATATTTTTACTGATCTAGGTTGTCTGATCTAGGTTGTAGCAACTTCTTTGTGAGCAAAACAAATGTAGACATTGTAAATTAGGTTAAATGTAGTTTGGCATGTTACATCCATGATCTTGCTTTGTGTGAGTTTCTTTGAGTAAATGTATTGATATGTTTGATTTGGAAAGTAAACAGAAGCAGCTTTGAGATGCACCTGTCTGTCAGGCCCTGTCAGGAATGAAGCAGTACTAAGGCCACTAAGGAACTAGACATCTTCAACTTCAAGAAGGCAATGTTTTTTAACTTTCCACCGAATAGGTGGGTAGCACCGAACAGGTGCTTCTTTTTTTGGGGGGGGAGGGGCAACACCAGTGGAGCACTTAGTTTCAGTCCTTGCACATGTGCAGGACTCATACTTCCAGGCTGGATAAATATTATCTATAGCCAAGGTCTTTGGGAATATCCAGGACTTTGGAGTTTCTTTGAACATACCATCAAAAAACTACTGTTCAGTTCAACAATATATAATATATTATAAAAAAGTGCCAGCTCTGGATATATATACTTTCTTTTCTTGAGTTGCATTGCAACCACTCACACTTCTCAGAGTCAAATTTGGAAAGGGCTAAGTTCAGTCAGGAAAGAGTGCATGACTCTGGACTAAGGCTCACACTAAGGCATGCTAAGGTCATCGCCCACAAAACCAGTTGTCAAGTTGAACACGAACTAGGTGTCAACCACTGTCATGTTTTTTTTAAATGTTTGGGTATTGATTTTCACTCCATCAACCCATTGCAACTCATGCCATTTCCTTCCAAGCCTACCCCATCTATTATTTCTATCTTCAAGATTTCCTGGCCACACCTCAGCACCACACACTCCTTTCTCAATCACCAGTCACACGTTGCCTCATTGCACCCTTGATTCGAGCTTCATTCACACTTTTCTAGTCATCAATTCATTTTGTCCTGTCAATTTGCCAAGCTTCCCATTGGTGCTCTCAGTTCATATTTCTTTGTGTATGCAAGCTGAAGATTAGTTATTAATGAGCTCTCCAAACCTCAGTGTTTGTGGCAAAAAATGGCTTAAGCCAACTCACGGCCATGCAGGAAATAATGCATATGTGTGGGCTAAGGGTCACACTAAGGCACACTGAGGTAATCACACTTGTGGCAAGCTTAGGAACAACCACGGATTGAATTCAGTCTGGCCCGTTTCATGGTAGCAACCTATTTAACG